GGGTTGCCGTGACCAAAATGCAGGACCCTGCTCTACAAAAACACCCAAAGGAGCTTCGAGGGAAGGGATGTAACCATCACGCCCGCACTGCAGCGAGAGCCAGGAGGCATACTCGCAGGTCCGTGCTCTGCTCAGTTCTTACCGCATTTCTTCTCGGGATCCATTTAGCTCCCTCAGCTTCAGGCTGGAAGCAGTGCCTTCCTCATTTAATAAAGTCACTTCATTCTTCAGAACAGCATTTTCTTCTCTGAGCTTCTCAGCTTCACATCTGCGGCAAAAAAAACACACCAAAAACTCACGACAAAGCATGAGACAAAATGAAAACCGTTTCTGTCGGTCGCCTAGGCCCACAGGGAAGAAAATTACTGAAAGCCTAAGCTGCCTGTACTATTTCAAAACCAAGCTACAATTGACTTATTTTTATGTATGAACAGTATATGAATTTTACATTTAATTTAGTAAGAGTGCTCGCCAGGTTGCTGAGAAAGGGGCTCTTTGTGCATGTTTTTGTAGAGCTGAAGGCAATTAAAATCTCCAGTACCTGTAAAAGTTTCATGCTAATATTGTACTATACCTTTCAGTCCTTAAGTTACAAATAACATAACTTTAAACAGCTTAACACTACAATACGCAGACTGCTAGGAGAGCTGTTTCTGGAGCCCAGTACGCGGGAGCAGCATGCTGGAATGTGCTTTTTCTGTCCCAAGGCGACTGTAAAGAAATAACTTAGCCCTGGTGTAATACCTGGAAGAACAATTTCCTGTAGGGAGCTGGTGCTGAATAGTAATTAAGCCACTTGTAGACACTTTACGGCCTTCCTTGCTGAAATACAGCAGTCAAAAATGAGTAGGTAAACGCTGTTATATTCTCTGTGTTATAATGGTATTTATCATATCACATACCTGATGGATTCCTAACACTAAGTGCTCCTGCTGGGCAAAAAAATCCCAAACAGAAAACCCAAACCAAGCTGTAATTCTCTAATATTAACTTAAATATTGAGAAAAATCAAAGCACTTTAAGAATTCCAAGTACTAGAAGGGAGCAAACTGAGTGAAGAGGTGATATTAGTAACAGGTAAACGCATTCTGGAAGTGTTACCAGAGGATTTGGACATAAAAAGAGTGGGGTTTCTGATGCACCATTAACTACACACTACGAAGGTGACTACGTCCACAGACAGAACAGCTGGCAGGTCGGTCCTGTTTGACCCCTCGTGTTAGGTCAGAGAAGAGTTAAGTCACACACATTTATTTCAGCTGTCGTTGTCCACACACACATTTATTTCAGCTGTCGTTGTCCACGATTAATGAGCCGGCTTGCTAGCGGTTAGAGTCCCAGGCACCGTTTTCTACCCAAAGTTAAACTACAGTGGTTAAGGCAGCACCCGTAAGGCAGGCAGGCAGGCAGGCAGGCAGCTACGGAGCGAGGAGCGGGAGGTTAGTTTTTAAGAGGCACGTTTCCCCACCAAGTTTTGCGAGCGTACGTTACCTCAGGAGATCAACTTTTTGCTGCAGCTCAGCGCACGCGCTTTGTAAGCCGTGTGTCACCGCATTCCTCTCCTCTCGCTCTCCGTGGAAACGCACGTCGGGCGGGTTAACCAGAGCAGGAGCTTTCTCCTTCAGCTTTCTGCTGGGCTCTTGCAGCTCCCTCTTTTCGGCCAATGTTTCCATCACCGCGCTGTCGCTTTGGGCACGCCTGTCTTGCTGACCTGTAAAAGCGGTGGTGTGATCTTCCAGCTTCCCAAGTCGGCATCGCAGTCTGAACTTTTCACTGTGTGCGTCTACATTGCCTTGTGCATCTGGTTCTTGGACATCTTCCAGTTCTTTAATTTTTTGGAGGAACTGCATGTTTTCCTCTCCGAGCTTCATGCTTTCCACTTTGCTACTTTCTTCTAGCTTGCAATGGAGGCTTCCCAGCTTATGCAGGTTGTCTTCTAGAGCTTTATTTTTTTCAACTAGCTTTAACATTTCAGATTTCAGATCCTCATTTTCCACCTGAATTTCTTCTTGCAGAGACAGAAGTTTAGCCTGTTCCATTGATCTGTGCTCTAACTCTTTGACCCTTTTCCAAAGCTGTGCTATTATGCTTTTCAGATAACTGATTGTTGACCCAGGAGCATGATCAAGCTCGAGAGAGGATCCACTGAGCTCTTCAGCCTTCTCAAGCTCAGAGGCTTCACTCAGCTCTTCAGTTTTCTCAGGCTCAGAAGCTTCACTCAGCTCTTCAGCTTTCTCAAGCTCAACCTGCAGCTTTGAAAGAAACCCTTTATTTCTGGGAGATGTTCCATGATTGAGCAGATGAACCTTGTGCTGTTTAACATCACTGTGCAGCATTTTCAGCCTGGGAACTCTGGAGAGATTTTTCTTGAGATCTCTCTTTTTTTGCAGCAGAGGCACCCAAGAGAGCAGCTCTTCATTCTTGTCCCAATCCTGATGGCTCTTAGCTTCCAGCACTGCTTTACTTCCTTGCATCTGACTCACCTGCACCTTGAGAGTGTGGTCATCTGCTCTGGCTTTACTCCACGCTTTCTCCAAATCCAAATCCATCTCAGTCATTTCTTCTAGGTCTGAAGTATAAGCATCCAAAAGGGGAAGGACATTCGAATTGGGTCTCTTATCTGCCTCTTTGCAATCACTGGGCAACCCTTCAAAAATGGGATCGATTTCATCTGACGGCTGAGATCCTTCAGAGTCAGAGTCGGAGCAGCCAGGACTGGGAGGTTGTGCGGGCTCCCGCTGCGCAGCTCCCAACCTGTGCCGCAGCCTCACGATCTCAGCAGCCATCCTGACGTTCTCCTTCACGGCTTGCTCGTGCACTTTCTGCAGATTTAAGAGGACATCCGCATCATCTCCCAGAGGTGCCATGCCAGAGAAAGAAGCAATTTTGCTCTTCGCTTTGGCATACTCGTTTTCCAGGACCCTATAATGATTTTGTAGTGCAGAAAAGCTGTGGGTCTCCCACTGCAGTTTCTGTATTTTCCCTTGAAGGTTTGAGATTTCTAAACTCATCTCAGCCTTCTCTGTTTCTGCTCTTACACAAATGTCTTTGTTTAAACTCTCCAAAGCAAGAAGTTTGGAATTGAGGTCTTCTTTCTCTCGCTTGTATTCACTGTCAAGCCTCTCCAGCGTTTGCCTAACCAGCTTCCCATTTTCCTCCACCACAGATATACGTTCTTCTTTGATCTTCAGCTCTTTCTTGTGGTCATTTTGCAGTTGTGTTATTTTATCATTCAGCTTTTTTTCTTGCTTCTCGGCAGCATTCCTCAGGTCTTGCAGCTCCTTCTGAAGCTGCTCTCTCTCGCACACAAGCTTGTTCACTTCCTCCTTGAAGTTTTTCTCCAGGAGATCTTTCTCCTGAGTCAAGGCAGAAGAAACAGCCTTTTCATTTGCCAGAGTTTCCTTCAGTTGCTCGTGAGCTTCGGTGACCTCCTGAGCAATTTCATCCTTTTCAAACTCCCACTGAGATTTCTCCTCTCTTTGCTGTTCGGCAAGTTCACGCAACTCTCGCTGGTAACGTCCTTCCAGATTTTGGATCGTTTCTTCGTATTTATTCACAAGTGTTTGCGTGTCAACAGAAAACTGAGTTTCTGCATGAGATGCTCTTCTGTTATAGTCACTTTCCATTTTTCTCCTAAACATGGTTAACATAATACATTACTAAACTCTGGCCTAACTCAAAAGAGATTCAGATGGCTTTTTAGACTGAATAAAACAAGCTGAGAAATTACTTTTTTCCCCCCGAGTTTTAGAAGAAGTACTATTTGACAGTGTTTCTGAGAGCCAAACTTAAATTTGGGGCAATTTGTTGAAACTCCAAAAATAAAAACCTAATTGCCTCGGAAAAGTGTAACTCAGGAAACGTCCTCAGAAAAGGTTTCATGCACAATATACGCCCTTCTGTTCTTGTGATTGGATTTGTGGGGAAAGATGTTCTCGCCCCCATCTCTCCCTGTCACCCAAGGCTGGTTTCAGTTTCTTTTGACTCTTGATCCCGGCTAAAAACATTCACCAGTCATCCCTTCTTAAAAAAAAAGAACTCTGAGAACCCAAACACTTTAGAAAGACAAAGCAGGGATTTGTAAAGCATGAGGATCCTGAGCAGAGCTCAAGTTAATCACATCTGGTTATGCTTTAACACTATTTTTGCCTCTGGGTGAGCTAAAAATCAATATAAATATCTGCTTGAGAAAGGTCAGGGAAAAAAAAACACCAAACCAAACAACAAAACAAACCCTGGACAGTATTCTGGAATAAGACAGGTGGCAGCACTGTACGGTTAGAACACTTGAACATCAGGAGCCATTTCTGCAGCAGGTTCCCCTTGGCCACCACGCCAAGCCATGAAGGTCAGTGTACACCACTGCTGTGGTCCCCGCCAGCGGAGACACTCACCTTTCCTCCTCCAGGTCCTGCTCGTGATTCCTCAGTAGCTCTTGCTGGAGCTCTTCCTTCTCCAGGGCATGCACCTCTGCCATCCTTTTCAGCTGCTCGTGAAAGCCACGTTCCAGCTCTCCCTTCTCTTCCTGCAGCGTCTGCACCAAAACTCTCATCTTCTCCTCCACCCAGACACTGTTTTGAATCAGTTCTTCCCGTTCTTGACGAAACTTCTCGTTGACCTGTTCCAGTCTGGCTCTAACATCTTCTTCGTGCTCCCGCCTCAACCGTTCCTGCAAATTGGCTTTTTCCTCATCAAAACACACTTGCAATTTGGTTTTCTCATCGTTGTGTTTGCAGTCAAGCTTTTCTTGCTGTTCTCTGAGCACTGCTGCCTCTCCTTGCAGTTCCACAATTTGATTTTTAAGGCTGGTTATTTGCTTTTCCATGACGTGCATCTCTTCAGTGTGCTTCTTCCTCATACCCTCTTGCTCCTTTTCACAGCGGATTTTTGTCTGATCAAGCTGCTTCTCGTAATGGCTCACCTACAAAAAGGAAAACAGACTCAAATGGTTCATTTTCCTACAGAATGTTCTATAGAGATGTTTTCTCCACACTTCTGTAGTATACATTTCCATATATTCTACAGAATATTTTGATATATAGATTAGAATCTTACACTGATTTCCCCTGCAAAGAATGCTAAAGTGCTTAGCTTAATTTCTAACCAGGATAAAGATGATTAATACGTAGCAGCCAGTGACATTCATGCTTTTCCATTAAGCGAATTTGTGAAGAGACACCACTAACATCTTCTAAGTCAGTTTTGCAAATTGCAGGTGGACTCTCTTTTATTCCACTGATCATTTTTCCAAAACCTTCCCTAAATTAAGAGGCAGATGAAGCCCTTCCTTAGAAAAAGTTTAGAGATTTTAAGTTTTTGGTAGTTTTTTTGTTGTTCTTGTTGTGTTGGTTTGTTTAGTTTTTGTTATTTTTGTTTTGTTTTAAACAAAACTGACATGAGACAAACCCTTAAGGAAAATCAATGATTTTGGGGTGATAATCGGTCTCCTCAGTCTCCTTTTCCCAGTCGTGTCCCAGCTTCATCACTACACGGTTGCAGCATACCTGCATTATGCCACAAAAAAATCAACAGATCACAGTTTCGTGACAACTATCATTATAGAACCATCTCGCAGCTGGAGATGGGCACTGCTCTGATGGATCCAGAGGAAGCCTGGAGGGACCCTCAACTTCTGATCCTGACCCGACTCCAGCAGAACAAGCCCAGCCACCTCTACACCAGCAAAGCAACATAGGTCTCACTTGGAAACACCCTGACACGGGCGCTAGCGTAGGCTTTGTGCTGTGCCCTAGGCTTGGTTGTGGACTCGATCATCTCCAGAGGTCCCTCCCAACCCCTACAATTCTGTGCAAGCCATGCCAGCTCATCCTTACACTGCAGGTAGGCACTGGAGTGGAGCTCATAAAGAAATTAAGCCCATGGCTGATTAAAAGTCCTAATTCTCTAGAGGACCTAACTACACTGGCCTTTTTAGATAGTCAAACGCTGCACAAAAGTGGCTGAAGATGTTCGTGTTAAACAAAACCAGCTCCTGTGATAGGGAACAACACAGAAGAAACCTCGGAGGAAGTACTCGATAGAGAAGATGGAGATACTGCTGCACGTGTGGCACGACTGATCTGCAGATGGACACCCAGAAAACAGGGAGCTGACTGGCCATTTTCAGTAGCATGGCATCGTAAGTGGTGGAGCCACCATCCCTGGAGGGATCTAAAAGCCATGAAGATGTGCTCATGGACATGGTTTAGGGATGGCCCTGGCATCACTGGTTTAATGGTTGGACTCAATCTTAAAGGTGCTTTCCAACCGGAACGATTCCATAGTTCTATAACAGCAGAGTTTCCATACTTCCCCAGCACACATCGCATTTCAGGGCCACCAGGCTGCACAAGCCCAGCATTTAGCAGGGCAGAGCCCTAGCAAGCAGCCTTTCGAAGCCACAATTATCCCATGCCAGTGGGAATGAAGTGGTTTGATTCAGATGTAGGAGGCTTTGAAGACAGGAAAAGCAGAGCTGCCTCAGAAAGGCTCGCCACTCCCTCATGAGCTGGTGGGCGACACAAGAATCTGCTGCAGGATTCATCCAGCCCTCTCCATCACACAGCAATGCACAGAAGGAGCAGGGAAGCTAGAGGCTCAGATTTGCAGAAAGGTTATAATTTGACCAGGAATTAAAAGTCCTTCAAGACCATTCCCCAGAGGGGCTGGAAAAGTTGTGCAGGTTTCAGTTAAAATAGCTTACTGTGTCTTCAAGCTCCTGTTTGAGGTGATGCAGATCCCTGTGATGTTGCTCCTTGATTTGTTCAATAGCCATCTCCGCCTCTATGCTCATATTTAATGGGTTGCAGTCTTCAGAACCAAGCCCTTTAAGAAAGGGTAAGTGTATACATATTATTGAAGCCCAAAGAGATACATTCTAAACAAGATTATTTTGTCAATTTAGATTTGCTTAGGCAGCTACTTGCAGCTCTCAAATTCCCTTCACACAGAGAGGTTAGAAAGCGGAAACATTAAGTTCCATTTTGAACGCCGTCCGGCAGCTGAAAACCACTTTACCTTAAATAGCAAAACAGAAGCGGTGGTTGAGTCTCTCTGTGAAGGTTTGGCAAAGTTTTTACAGAATTGCCTCTAAAATGTTATCCTAAATACCTAAAGCCTAAATAATAGGATTTAATATCCTAAATTTAAGAATTGAATATCCTAAATAATAACGCAGCACACGATCCGGTCATATGGGAGACGAGCTTTACCTTGGTCAGGCTCAATAGCGCTATTGCCGTGATTTTTCATATCAATGTCGAATTCTTCCGACAGCGAATTTTTCAGCGAAGGCCTGAGCACTTTGCCCTGGGCACGGTACTCCTCCAGCTCTGAGTGCAGCTCATCTATCTGGTCTTGCAGCTCCTGTGAGCGGGCAAAAAGAAAATCAAAACACCTAAGTGAAAGGAACCAAGGCAGCTGAGCATCTGCACATCAGCAGCTCCCATAGTGAGACACTTAGGAGGGAATTACAGTAGGTAAAGACTAGTCAATAATCCTGCCATCCCGCCAGTTAGTCATTCTCCCAGCAGCAAGACAACACCCTTCTCCAGGCTCCAAGCTGTGCAACCAACAGAAGTGTTTCTTACTAAAAAGAACAGAACTCTTCTTCAGCTTGTACATACTCTGCCTCTTAAGTACATTGTGCTCCAGGACCTTTCCCTTTATTCCTTCTTCCTACAACCTTTTTAAAAATATAATTTTCAAAACCACATTCGAACAGTCAATAAATACCTCCTCGAGCACGATCGATTTGTAACATCAAATCTGAGGCAGAAGATCAAATTAGGAAAGAGATACCCTCATTACTGCATTTACCATCTGGTACTCCTGCCCGCTTGCCAGCGGAAAATCCCGAGTGTTTGTGCCAAACGCGGCGTGCTCAGCTCAAATGAACAGTGTTTGTTGAGGAAAATGAATCCCTGAATGTGTAAACACACAGTGCTGCAGATTTCAATGGTTCAGAACGTGAATCCTGAGTACCGATTCGTATCTGCCAGTACTCAAAAAAACAAACAAAAAAAATCAACTGCGTATTCAAGCATCTTATTATGAAGAAGTATTAATTCAGCAAGTATTTCTAGAAAGGGCTACCTTGGCAAAAGGCTGTCTTATCTGAAACAGCTCTCCTAGGACGTTGCAGATGAGAAGCAAAGATTTTCTGGAACTATTTGCTGAATTGATACTTCCATTCGGGCATTCATTTTCCTCAATAAGATCGTGCGGAACAGATGAGCTGGATGCTGGTAACCATTGTAGTCATCAGAAAGTAGATATGTGAATAAGGTAACTTGCAGGTTCACCTTAAAGAGGTATTTCAGCCGTACATGACATGGAGGCGAGAAGACAAGCTGCACGTTTTCAGTTTTATTTAAGAATAAAAATTACAGTTCTGAAAAGCCAGCAAAACTCAGCTATACCTTATTTGTGCTGTTAGTTCCTGCGTTTCAAATAAGAATTTAACACAGAGTTCAGATTAAGGCAGTGGGTTTTTAATATATCAAAAATCTGCTAGTGCACAACTGCAAGGAGCTGAGCTTGATGTAGCGCCGGGGAACGACAGAGGCTCCACAGACCCTATCCCAGTCCACCCTCGGGACATCTCATCCTCTTAGCTCGGCCAGTTGCACCCCCGGCAAGAACTCTGCACCCACCAAGAGCATGGATTAACGTAGCACCACGTCTCCAGCCCCGGGCCCTACTTACCCTGCACTGCCGCTCGTACTCGCTCCTCATCTGCGCCAGCCTCTCCTCCTGCAGGAAAAACTCCGCGCTGCTGGGATCAAGGTCACCAAACTGAAATGGCACGAAGGGGAGCCTGTTAACTCTGCCGCCGAATAGCCCTGCTCACCAAAGCAAGCAGTCCTGCAGCCTGCACCCTTCTCCCCTCTGTTTTTTTAAAAATTTTAAATACAGAAGTTCTGCTTCCCTGCTGGTAGAGAACAATAAGAAACCTCCCTAAGAAATATCACTTGCTACCTCACCATAGCTCTCATGCTAGTTTTAATTGCAGACCACAGCGTTCTAGCCTAGCATGTGCACATCTCCATTAGATAAATAATCCCAGCTTTAAAGGAGGCTGGAAAACAGATGCTGGGTGGCAATCCCAACATATCAGCCTTTGTCTGTAGATGTGCACACTCCGAGCTGCCTTTGGAGAAGTTGATGTTCTGGTGAGTTTATTGTAATACAACTGCAATCACCTTGATTGTCACCTGCAAGCTCAGCAGAGATGCCAGATACCTGACCCCACAGGTACCATCTTTCCTAGGAAGGATCTGCATGCTGGGTCTATCCAGAGCTATGTGTTGGGGCTTAAAAAACTCAAACCAAGTCTGCAGATCTGCTGAGTGATTGCTTCCCTGTAAGGCCCTCTACTGTCAATTATTCTAAAACTACAGCTAAGGTGGAATATCTTTAATTTCCTTAACTGGAAGTCAGACAGGCAGGTCGCATCAACTGGGCAAGGCTAGAGAGAGACCCCAGAAGTCCCCAGCTATTAGTTAAATTGGCAGCTCAAGTGTAGCAACTGAAAAGCAATTTAATTCTGGACACATACTGGGAAGAGGAGCATTTACCTTCTCAGCCAGGACATTTTCCAAGTTCCTCTGCAGTTTGCTTGCCAGACTTTCATACTCGGCCATTTTCTCTCCTGTTTCCAAGAGCTCACTTTCCAGGCGGCTGTTTTCCTGGGCCAAACAAAACCACCGTAACAAGCTCAGCGTTCAGAAGAGGAAAATACTAGCACATGGGAATTCATTAGAAAATGAGTAATCTCCCAGTCAAGTCAGAGCACGATGCCGGTACAAGATTCAGCCAAAGACAGGAACTGTCAATTTTTTATCCATGTGTGTACAATCCTCTTGCCACAGCAAAGATGAACACCAGACTCACAGCCAGCTCACAAACCCCGTGTCCTCTGGCCATTCAGCTGGCTGCTTCAGCAGGGGAATCGTACCGGTTCCATTA